GCGGGACACTGGCGGTGGTGTGACGGGGGGTGGAACGCCCGGAGCGGAACTGCAACAGTGGAAAGGGAAGTTGGACTCTCTTAAGTTATCTTTTGTTCTTATTCTAAGTTAAAGTGAATTGCGCCATGTATGTACAACGAAAGTACGTTCTTTTCACTGTATTTTTACATTGAATACACGTGACAATAAATGATTCAATGAATGATTCAAATGATTTGGATGTGAATATAGGAGGCATGCTTAGTAGGTTTGTGGATGGCAACAACATTGGTGGTATAGTGGATGATGAAGAGGCTATCTAAGATTACAAAGAAATCTTGATTAGTTGGGTCGATGAGCTGACGAGTGGCAGATGGAGTTCAATTTGGATAAATGAGAGGTATTGCATTTTGATAAAACACAAGGGCAGGACTTATATAGTTAATGGTAGGGCCCTGGGTAGTGTAGAACAGAGATCTAGGGTTTCAGGTACATAATTCTTTGACATTTGTGTCTCAGGTACATCGGGTGGTTAAGAAATGTTTTGCACGCTTGCCTTCATTACTCCAACCTTTGAATATAAGAGTTGGGACATCATGTTGAGGTTGTACAGGACTTCGGTGAGGCCTCTTCTGAAGTACTGTGTGCAGTTCTGATTGCCACGTTATATGAAGGATAGTATTAAACTGGAGAGTGTTCAGAAAAGATTTGCCAGGATGTTGCCTGGAATGGAACATTTAAGTTATAAAAGTAGGCTGGAAAGTCTGGGACTTATTTCGCTGTAGCATAGGAAGGTGATAGGTGACTTTATAGAAGTTTATAAAATTATGATAAGGTGATAAGCAAAGGGTTTTTTTTCCCCTTAAGGTGGGGGAGTGCAAAACTAGGGCAATTTTTTTTAAGGTGAGAAGAGAGATTTGAAAAGGATATGAGGGCACCTTTTTTTAACGCTGTTTGATTAGTGTGTGGAATGAACTGCCAGAGGAAGTGGTGGATTCAGGTACAGTTACAGCATTTAAAAGACATTTGGATAAATACATAAATAGGAAAGTTTTGGATGGATATGGGCCAAGCGCAAGTAGGTGCCATTAGTTTAGTTTGGGAACATGTTTGGAATGGACCGAAGGGCCTGTTTCCATGCTTTATGATTCTATGATCAATCTTGACTCAGTGAAGCATGCAGGAAGGTATGCCAGGAGCAGCACTAGACACAACTAACAATGAATTGTCAACTTACAAAGGACTACTCGCATGCCATGCAGTGGAAGCAGCATGCGATAAACAAAGCTAAGCAATTTGATAACCAGTGTATTGGATCTAAGCTCTGGAGTCCATGTCCAGTCGTGAAGGGTCATGGTTCATTAAACAAATCATTGAAGGAGGAAGCTCCATAAATGTCCACATCTTCATTGATGGGAGATCCAGCACATCAGTGGCAAAGTTGAGGCTGAAGCATTTGCAGCTGTCTTCAGCCAGAAATGCAAAGTGGATGATCCATCTTGGCCGCCTCCTCCTGAGGTCCCCAGTATTGTAGATACCAGCCTTCAGCTAGTTCAATTTCCAGCATGGAATATGAAGAAGTGGCTGAACGCATTGGTTACTGTAAACACACTGGCCCTGACAACATTCCAGCTGTACTTAGGTAGACTCGTGCTCCAAATCCCATATCCAAGCAGTTCCTGTAGATTTGCAACATTGGCATCTACTCAGTAGTGTGGAACCTCGCATAGGTAAGCCCTGTCTGCAAAAAGGAAGACAAATCCAACCAAGCTAATTACCTCCCTGTCAGTCTGCTCTTGTTCAGCAAAGTAATGGAATGTATTGTTGCCAGTGTTATTAAGAGGCACTTAGTCAACAATAATTTTACTGCTCAATTTGAATTCCATGCAGCCCACTCAGCTTCTGAGTTCATAATAGTCTTGGTCCAAACGTGGAAAAAAGAACTGAACTCAATGGGTAGTGACAGTGACTGCCCTTGACATCAAGGAAGCATTTGGTAAGAGTATGGCATCAAAAACCCCTAGCAAAACTGGAGAGTTAATGGGAGTCTGGGTGAAACATCTCCACTGTTTAGAGAAGTTCCTAGCACAAAGGAAGATGGTTGTGGTTAATGGAGGTCAGTCACCTTAGCCGCAGGACGTGACTGCATGAGTTCCTCAGGATAGTGTCCTAGGCCCAACTGTCTTCAGCTGCTTCATCAATGACCTTCCCTTCACTGTAAGGACAGAAATGGGAATGCTTGCCGAGAATTGTACGAGGTGAGGACGCCTCAGATACTGAAACAATCTGTATCCAAATTCAGCAAGACCTGGTCAACTTTCAGGTTTGGGCTGATGTGTGGCACAGATGTTACTTTCCACTTAAGTGTCAGGCAATGACCATCTCCAGGAAGAGAGAACTTAGCCATTGCCCATTGACGGTCCGTGCCATTACCTTTTGCTGAGCAACTCAATGTCAACATCCTAGGATTTTCTTGACCAGAAACTGGACTGGACCTGTGTATTAATACTGTGGCCATGAGAGCAGGTCAGAGGTCGGGGATTTTGCCAAGAGTAATGTGCCTCTCAACTCCTCAAACCCTGTCCATTACCTACTGGGCACAAATCAGGGATGTGATGGAATAGCCTCCATTCAACTTGATGATTGCGCCATCAACTGCTGTCAAAGTTCAACACCATCCAGTACAAAGCAGCCTGTTTGTCACCTGATATTACACCTGCAACATTCACTCCTCCGCTGTTGTGCATTGGCAGCAGTGTATAACATCTACAGCATGCACTGCAGGAACTCTCCAGGGTTGCTTATGTTTCAGGACTGTGACCTTTCATCATAACCACTGATGCATACTGATTTTTTATTTGTGATAACGGTTTGGATTCAGAATGTCAATGCATGCTGAAACTGGGGATTTGAGTTGCTGCATTGTAGAGATTTTCTTCTTTGTATGTAATGGTGTCTGTAGGGGTGAAATTCTGATCAACCTTTGATTGAAAGTTATCCTCCCTCCCCACCCTCACCTCTTTTTTTTATTAGGCACATTACGTTTCTTTTTCCATTTTTATACTTAGGATTTCACCATGAAAAGTTTCAGCGGAGCCCAATACTAAACATTTACTTGGCACCTACATGTACAGTTTTTAATTAAAAGCGGAATGATGATTGCTTGGCAGAAGGAAGGGTGGGTGGGTGCGCATATGTCATTCACCATGTTTTTCCCCTAATACAAGATATCTAAGAAGTAATTTCACAGCACACCACCTGTTTTATGATATTAACTCATCTGGCATAGGCAGAAAATTGAGGATTTGGACTCTTCAGCCTAGTGCTGTTCTGGATACTCCTTTTATCCACTGAAGATCCCACACCAGGAGCTTAAGAAATATTTTAATAGTTGCCCTTACTGTTCTTGAGGTTCCACTTTAAGAAACACAAATAAATTCTAACAGAAAGTAATTGGTCTACACTGGTAAGCTAGTAACACCAAAGCTGCAGTGAAAAATTGAAGTTGTAAAGGGCAGCAATAATCACTTTTTGCATTGTCCAAAATGTTTCTCTAGCAGTTTACCCCTATGTGTATGCTGAAAAAAGACAATTGCCGTAACTCTGCAGGATCATTGGGGTGCTCTCTCGTCAGAGAGAGATGGCTAGTGGTGGTTTAACCTGAGGGTCGCCACACCTCAAGTGACGGGAGCAGTTGTAAAGGAGAGCCCTTCATGGTAACCTCAGCTGGTGCAGGAATTGTACCCACATTGTTGGCATCACTGTACATTGCAATCCAGCTATCCAGCCAACTGAGTTCATTGACCCCCAATAAGCTAACAACCGTGACATATAAACAACTCACTTTTTTAAAGTTGCGGAATGGTTCTGTAAGTCTGTATAGGTGATAATCGTGAGTGCAATCCAGTTTGTGTCAGCTATTTTCCATCCATTGTGGTAATTTTAAGTAGAGTTAGCAGCCTTCAGCCCCAGCTTGAATCATCCTTTCTTTTCCCCATGTGTTAAGTGTGGATTTACAATGTTTGCAGACATTTTTTCTAAAGTTAACCTCCTTATACAAATTGATTAATGCATTTACTTTTCTGTCAGGCTCTCGCACCAGATCAGAAAGATCAGAACCAAGTAAGCACAGATGAACAAATGGATACCAATGATGAAAAGAAACTGACAGAGGCCCAAGCAAAACAGGAGGCAATTTTTGAAAAAGATTTGGTATGTCTGTGGCAATTAATTAAGACATTCAAAATATCAGTTAGAAACCGACAAAACTTTGGCTGGTGTAAACTTGTGAAGAACTGTAGAACCTGGATTTTGCTGCATTTTGTTGTGGATTTCCTAGCTCAGAAATGAAGCAAAATGCTGGAAATACTTACAGGTCACGTAACATCTCTGGAGAGAACAGAGTTTCAAGTTTATGACAGTTTAGCTAGATCACATCTTGGCTATAGATCCATCCAGTGTCCATTATGGACCAACTCTTTGCTCAAGAGAAGAAGATTGGATTTTTTTTCTCCATAACTGGGAAGTGCAGTGCAGTGGACGGTCCATGATGATTTCCCAGGGTGTAGCTGGCTTTGAAGCAAGGCTCATGTTGACTTCAGGCATCAACTGTTATAAAACAAATTACACAGTACTCCGTTCCACTAGTCTACCCTAAAAGTGTGCATGGACCCTATCGGATTTTAATGAATCTTGGTCTACCAGTAGCTTGAGTCATAATTGTAGTTGTAGCAAAGCCTGGACAGTTACAACAGTTAATAGCATCCTTAGGAAGTGTCAGCTATTGTACATCAGATCAACATCTTACATTCTGTCCATTCCCATGGGTAAAAATTGGTCTTCGAAATTTTTGTAGTTTTCGGCTTGTTTTTATTGTTTTTGAATCATTTCGTTTACAGGGCAATGAGTACTTCAAAGAAGGAAGGTATTTAGAAGCGGTTGAATGCTATACTAGAGGAATGGCAGCAGATGGCGCCAATGCACTTTTACCTGCCAACCGGGCCATGGCTTACCTTAAACTTAAGAAGTAAGTTTTTTGTTTTGAAGGTGCACAATACTGCTGAATTTAATTGTGTATCAAATGAATTTACTTTATTAACAACAGTAGCATTTGTATAGCAGAGGCCATGAAAACAATTTAAGCATATTCCTTATTAAAGTATATTGATAACCTGGGTCTATTGCCATGTCTCACTGGGATCATAGACGGGAAATCAAGCTCCATACTGTCACATGTGAAAATTTGATTAAACTACAGAATTGTCCAATTTTGCCTAACTGTATAATTCAGGTTAAAATCACATACACACCAGGATTTTTCTATCAAGAAGACACTAAACTACTTATTGTAGTAAACTTTTCTAACCAATGGCAAAACATTGGCAAGGTGATTTGGTAATCTATAATTTAAACTGTACCCCGTTCTTAAACTTCCCATCCACATACAAATAGACACTTAAAGCGATAAAACAAAACACAAATATTGTGGATGAGGAATGGGAAAAAATGTCAGAAGCACTATTCTGGCATCAGTCCAGATCACAGACATTGATGAGTTGTTTTCTTTTGATATTCTTTTGACTCCATCTGATTCTTCACCGATGGCGAAAGGTGTGGGGACACAGATTCGTTCACTGGCTGAGGATTGACCCTTTTAGTGCCTTTGAAGGCATTTTGTTTCCCCTTTCCCTTTCAACAGGAATTTTCAGAGGGAACAACTTAAAGATAGGTGAGGGACAGCAGGTAGCTATTAGATATTTTTTCACTTCCCTAAGTGGAGATAGATTGATCGATGCGTTCTGTTCACAGCCTGGAAGTTTTGACTGCATTGTCCACACCCAAGGCTATAGCCACTTGTTCAGGAACCAGTCAAGTGCTTGTTACTATGCTGAGCCGACCTTAACTGATAACAGTAGGGTCTGAGTTTTCAAAAAAAATCAAAAACTGTCCGAGGAAAATTGCTCTGAACACACGCAGGCAGTGACGCTCTATCTGGAATGTTCCCTCACTGCTGAAAGGGGCAACTCTTTGTAGATACAGCTCACAATGTGTTCCAGTAACTTGTCTTTAAAACAGTAAACATTCTCTTCGTCTCTTAGTTTAAAGCAATATCATTTCTCACTTTTTGCCCATAGTCTGAAAGCATAGTGGTCTTTACACTATATTCCAGTCAAGTTTTGAACGATTTTTAGTAGATGTTTCTTTAAGTATGTTTTAAGCATGTGCATAAATTAGTACACACAACTCTGAACCAGTTTAATTTCTTCATACAAGTTGTAATTGGAGTTGGTGTTGTGGGACAAGACATGGAAAGGAAGAATATTGTGTCTAAATCAGAACGGAAATGAGTTTTACCCCCTCAAATGGGCTCAACTTGCTCACGTTCTGGTTTGGAATTCTAAAATTCCAATGGAACCACGATTATTAAGTGAGGTAGATTTTAGTCATAAAACATGCAGCATTATAACTGTTGATATTGCAAGCCAAAGGCAGAATTTAATGCCCTCACCTGAGATGGCTTTGGAAGTAGGAGGACCTTTAATCAAATGGTGTGCTGTAAGGTGCGACCTTGCTGCCTTCCTGTCTCGGCGCTATTAGGTCTGGGACAAGAAATTGAGGAAGATAGTTATGTTTCTTTAAGGGCCTCTACCTGCAACCACTGGTATTCAATGAGTAATGGATGGGATTCTCATCTGGTAATGAACTTGAAAATGAAAACCTTGTGTAAGGACCACATCTTTGTATTTTTCTTTTTCGGATCATGGCCCAAATGGGAAAAGGATATTACTTTAGGCCGAGGAAGCTATGACAGCAGATATAAAAACCGAAAGAACTGCGGTGATATTGCAGTTTTAAAACAAGTTACTGAAACTGTTTGTGTTGTACTTTTGCTGTTGCTAAGTTCAAGGAGTTGTGGGGCTTTGGTTGCAGGACTCATCCGCTGTGTGTGTGTGTGAGTGCATGTGTGTTCAGGGCGGTTTCGCTCAGAGACAATGTTCTGAATAGGTTTTCAATCAAGACTAGATGTGTGGGCTAGGAGTCATCAACATGACAGCTTTCTGATAGGCTGTCCACCTGGTCAAGAGCCATTGTGTGAACAGTAAAAGGTCAGAAAACCTTCAGGATCCAAAAGGATAGCGCTCCCCCCACTCCTTGCAGAGAGATAACAAAGACTTGGAAGACAGTTGGTTACTCTAACTCAGCATTTACCATTCATTGCGACATTGGACCACTGGCATGCCAACTCCCCTGTGTTTGCAGTGAAGAACTGAAAGAAGAAGAATGGAGATTAGAAGGGCTCAGGAGAGGGTTTGTTACTTATGAGGCACTCTGCCTGTTTGAGAGATCCACTGAAAGCCACTGCCTGTCCTTGTGGCTGAATCCCTTCCCTCCAGTCAGCCTGGTGACTCCATCCTGCCCTCCCCTTTGCATTGGGATCACTTGGTGATTTCACTTTTTAAAACTTCTACGGTAACATTTAAATAAAATGGAAAAATGTACTTGAAATCAGAAGGTAAGTTTCACTTGTAAGAATTGATACACCAGAAATACATCTGGCATAGTCATGTCATTTCTGGCAAGAAAATGGTACCAGTACAATCTCAACAGTCTTTTTGTCTTTCCCTCCTGTATGTTGGATTTGTTACTTCCCTGTGTGAATTTTCCTGATATCCAGTTGGTACCCAAACAGTACACCATTTCAGACCTTCCTTAGCTAGGTTCACAACAGTTATGATGACATGCACGTCCTCAGATAGTACTTTCTCTGATCTCTTTAATTATAACAGCAGCAGTAAGGATCTTGCCTTGTCTCATTCCCTGCTCTTCATGTCTTTGGCTCTTTTCTTTCCAACAATGTAAAACACACAGTAGCCCAGTCCTTGTGCCGTCCTCAAAGTTCTCTTTCTGTTTTTCACCAGGTCTACTCTGAACAGCTTCTTGAGATCAGCTGTAATTCAGTCTCCAATTACTTGTCTCTTTGCCATTTGCTTTTTGCCAGTCATCCCCACAGCAACCACAGATCACATAAACACTTGGGTGTGATGTGATTAAACTTCTGAGGAAGGTTAATTATCCCTCCTTTCAGAAATTAACAGAGTTTTATTTTGGTCTCAAAGGGACAGTAAGCACCTGGAATATCACAAAGTGAACAAAACTTGAAATGAAATTGGTAGATACTGAAATGGCCTGCCTTAGCCAATGCAGCATGTTCCTAATGTAATATTAATGAAAGCAGTATGTTTTCAGACATAGTTGTTCATGACGGTTCTGAACCAGTTATAAATATTTTAGATTTGCAGAGGCAGAAGCTGATTGCAGCCAGGCAATCTCACTGGATAATACCTACTCCAAGGCATTTGCACGAAGGGGAACTGCCAAAATGTGCCTAGGGAAGATGGAGGAAGCGAAAGAAGGTGAGATTACTTAAAAGCTTGCAGAACTCTTGTTTTATTTGTTGGAGAAAATGGTATGGCATTTATAACTTTGTTTTCTTGAACAAAAGTCTGGAGATAGTCAAGGGCCTGTCTTACATTGTATCGAAGGCTGGTGCAATGGGGTGGGAGATAATAGTCAGAAGAGGGGAGGGGCTTTGAAATAAATACTGTTACACTGCACCAGTTCTCTGGTATTATTTTGAGACTAATTGAAACTGACTTTATGCTTCTTTGCACTCTCAGCTGTCAAGCATAGACTGATGTACACAGAATGACACATACACAGTGCTCATCTCATGAAAGCCCAAGTGCTGACTATATTTTTGAGCTGAATATCCCCTTGCATATCCATTAACAGTCATAATTTGTTAATACGTTCCTTTTAATGTGTCTAAGCTCTCAATGAAATAATCTAAGACCATCAGTTTAAAGTTATAAATCATCATAAGTCATTCAGAGGATTATTTATTTTGCACATTTCAGAGAGCTAACTTAAAATCCTTCCTATAAACATAATATTATACTAAGCCCAATGGCTGCAACTATAGTCTCTGTTGTGTTCATTGTTGACACCTTTAAATCTCAAATTTCTAATGATTTTCTTGTTTTTCTGTTTCCTTGTTTCAGAAATGTGAGTAGCATTTGGCTGATATTTTGCTTCATGAATTTTGTTTCAATTTGTTCGTTAATATTTATTTCATTAATACTTGAAGTATTTCCTTGTGAAGGATTGGGAGTCAGTTAGCTAAATTGGCTAGATGTTGCCCTTGTTATGAGCCCAATCCCTGAAACAGCTGCAATGGTTCATGGAGGCCTGCCCTCCTCACCTTGGTCCAAGTTTAGGGAGTGGTGTCCTCAAGTGATGTATAACCATTGTCACTCAAAGAGAGAGATACCTATGCACAGAATTAGGTTATTCAGTCCCTCGTATCTGCGCTGGCACGCTTTACAGGCACGTACTGGCCTAAGTGAACAAAAAGTAGTACCCTCAATTTTCTTGGATATCAGTAATGTTGACCGTTTATTCTTGCATTATCTTTTTGATCGTGCTAGATTTTGAAATGGTACTGTTGCTGGAACCAGGAAATAAACAAGCTTTAACTGAACTTGGAAAGATAAACAAGGTAAGTATGGTATTATCCTTGGGTAAAGATTACATGGGAGAATTAAATCATTTGAAGAGAACAGTATGCAAACCTATATCTGTTACAATAAAATAAGGAGCAATAAGAACCTACTGGGTACATTGGGAATTCAGTTTACAAACAGAATTTTACACTCCCAACTGGAGTGGGGAGCAGTGGGGAGCTGTAAAATGTCATGGGCACTTTTCCTGGTGCCTGTCCACATCTCACTCCTCTGCACATTTACAAGCAGCAGCGAAGGTATCAGACTACTTGCCCACCAAATTGCTAATTGAGACTCTTAAGTGCTCGGTTAATAGCCACTCCCTGCTTCTGCCACTATTTTATCAGCTGAGGCTGATGTATTAACATTTGGATTCCCAATACTGCTCAACTGCTTTCTCCAACCTGACTCTCATCTCTGAAGGCTGGCAACCTGCCCCTGGTGAGATCACCCCCTCCAACCCTTCAGTGACACTATCTGGACCAAATAAGGACAACAGTTCTTGGAGGTGGCACTTGCTCAGATGGGAGCAGAAGTCTCGCCATGAGATATTTAAAGCCCAATGCACGTTAAACCAGAGCAGGGACTGTGTGGGAGAAAAAGCTTTGCTCTTTCTGTCCACAGCATCCACTCGCCTGATGCAAAATTCCATTTAAAGGAAAGGCATCACTCTTGTCCATTTCTTCATTGTATTTTAAGGTAGTTACCTGGAGAATGCATACTTCTGAAACCCAGACAGCAGTATAAAGTTAAAATTACTTCATCAGATTAGAAATAGGATGCTCAATTATCATTGATATGGTCAGAGAGGAAAAAAAAATTAAACTTAATAAATAGATACAAATTCTTCACAACTTCATCTGACCTATTGTTTCATGTGGATCAAAGTCATATTTTGTTCAATTATGCTCTACTTGATATGCTCTAGGACATTTAATTTTTATCAGTGCTCTACACAAATGTAAGATGTTGGCTGGTGAAAATTATATTGGTGCATTAAATTCATTTGGAATATGTAAAGAGAAGATTAATTGTTTTAAGTATAGTAATGCTAATTTAGCTGGATTTCCCAAGGTGACAGGTTGAGAAGTAGTTGTTCATTGATTGTCTTTAACTTTTTTATGTTTTTAGCATTGTGTAGAGTCATGCAAGTTAGGTTGAGTAAAACAAAACTCCCAGTGGAAGACTTGAGGACTGCATGTGACAGATTAAAAATTGTGTGACAGACTAGTGATAACAATGCAGAAATTTGATTTTCAATCCATTTTAAGATGCTGTGAAGTTAAATTTGACAAATCTGATAAATAGTGGACCAGTGCCAGAAAACGGCTGAGAGAATTGTCAGTTTGATTTTTACAACAATCCTGAGTTTTGAGGTACATTTCAAATATTTACTTTCTTATATTTAAGGAATTGGCTTTGCAAGGAGTTCCAACACAACAGACATCTTCAACAAGCAACAAAGGTCAAAGAATAATCAAACCAATCGATAAGCCACCCCATCTGAGATCTACTGTAAGTTTTGAAACATCTAAGTTTAGTATCAAAGGTGTCCTTTGTTACCAGCTGATTATAGTTCGTATATGTATATGTGGGCCAACCTTTTGTATTTATTCAACTTATTTTAAATTGCATTTAACATTTTATTTCTAATTGAGTTCGTAGGAAGTATAAAGCATTCTCACACAACTTGCAGAGAAAATCGAAGTAAAATTACTCAATTATAGAAAGCTAACATGGAGACAGTGCATCACTTTGTAAGAAGTCCTTCACGAAGCACTCCTTCCTTTTCCTGGCAGTTTTCTTCTGCTCTTGAAATGCAAGATTAGGTTTTGTTTATGCAAGCAGGGAAAAGTTGAGATGTATAAATTGTTTTGACTATGTTGCAATGCAAGTTAGCAATAGAAAACAATGCATAGTAGTTTTATTTAATTAATTCCCAACAGACCTTTGTTTGCTATTTAAGGAGTGTTTACCCTCTTTCCCTGCTATTCCAAGATCAGCAACAGCTAACTTTGGTGCATTTGAATTCTGATCTTTAACTCAAGGCCTACCATTTAAATTGTTAACATTACTTGTTTAAGGAAAATATAGGTAGGCGATAGCGTTGTACTTGTCTGATCATGTGAAGAGCCCAGGCACTGCTACAGAATTATGTACATAGTTTGAAACACAGATAGCACTGCAAACCCCATAGTGACTATTAATGATACATTTTAATAGGAAATGACTTCCCCTTAAAAAGACTTTAATTTTTTTTCCAATTTCAGCGTTGATATTTGTCCTGTGACATTTTAAGTATGTAAAATATTTGGGGATTTTCTACATTCATTAGACTACCATCAACTCCAAATCTTCCTCAACAATATCCTCCCTGACCAACTTGCCATTCAGTTCACAAATAAACTCTCTTACTCCAATAAAAACCGAAAAAAACTGTGGATGCTGTAAATCGGGAACAAAAACAAAGCTACTGGAAAAGCTCAGCAGGTCTGGCAGCATCTGTGAAGGAAAAAACAGAGTTAACGTTTCAGGTCCGGTGACCCTTCCTCAGAATTGATTGTCTTTAGACAAAAACAATCAATTCTGAGGAAGGGTCACCAGACCCGAAACGTTAACTCTGTTTTTTCCTTCACAGATGCTGCCAGACCTGCTGAGCTTTTCCATCAAATTTGTTTTTGTTCCTCTCTTACTCCAATATCTGCTGTAAATTTCCCTCAGACTTTGCTTTCAGCTCTCTCATTGTTCATTTCTGTGTGTTTTCCTGTAATAAGTTCAGCAGTGCACTCTCCCTCCAGCTTACCCATTGCCCCACCACAAAATTAGGAACATAGGACCAGGAGTAGGTAATTCAGTCCCTCGAGCCTGTTCCACCATTCAGTAAGATCATGGCTGATCTGTGGCCTAATTGCATATACCTGCATTTGGCTTATATTTCTTAACATCTTTGCTTAACAAAAAAAAATCTATCAGATTTAACTGATCTAGATTCAACTGCTGTTTGAGGAAGGAATTTCCAGAACCTCTACCACCCTTTGTATGTAGAAGTGAATTCTAACTCTCTCCAGAACGGCCTGGTCCTAATTCTCAGACTATGCCACCAATTCTAGAATCCCCAAACGGTGGAAATAGTTTATCTTTATCTACCCTGTCTTTTCCTGTTTAATATATTGAAGACTTTGATCAGATCACCCTTTTAATCTTTTCAATTCTGAAGCATACCGGCCTAATTTATATAATCTCTCCTCATAACTTAACCACTGAGGTCCAGGTATCATTTTTGTCAACCCACATTGTACTTCCTCTAAGGCCAATATATCCTTCCTAAGCTGTGGTGCCCAGATTTGCTCTTAGCGTTCCAAGAGGGGTCTAACCAGGATATTGCATTACTGCAGCTTAACTTCTGCATCCTTCTACTCTAGTCCTCTGGTTTTAAAAGTCAGCATTCCTTTAGCTTTCCATTATATTCTGCACTGTTCAACAGACACTTTACCACTTTGGTGACCTGATGACATTTTTGGATTGCAGCACCTCCTGATTTTGTGTCTTTGATTCGGTTCTGCAAGTGGTAATTCCTTATTTATCACAAGTCTAGAAATTCCCATTTGGAATGTAGAATTTAGTTCCAGCACAGAGCAACAGTGACCAATTCATGCTGTAACCTGGTGCAACAGCTGATCCATCACTGAATAGAGCCCAGGGATTTCTCAACCATGTGCCCTGGGGAGAGCTGATTCACTGCCCCCATGAGGAAATTGAGCAACAGCAGTGAATTATCATTTCATAGATTTTAAAGAAGGAATCTATTTGATATACCGTCCGTACTACAACTTTGACAAGAAGTTTTGCAGGGCATTTTTTTCACTGAACTGATTGGAATCGTCCCTGTCATGGTGAAATGTGTAATGGAGGTTTGTAACTTGTATTATTAAATAGAGGAAAAAAAGTAGAGTTCTGTAAACACCTGACTTTTAAAAGGCAGAAAGTAATTTTGAACAGCAAGTTCAAAACAGCATGATTTTACAAGAAGTCATATGATTTTAGTTAAATAACCAGCAAGCCATTTGGGATGATAATTGCTGAGATGTTTGCTGACTTGAGTTTTGCAACTGAGAGTTTGGGGGTCAGAAACAGATTTGTGCAAAGAGGTCTTTAAGAACAGAAGTACTGTTAGTCTCTAAGCAGTTCTGAGAAAATCAGAAATCAGGGTGGAAACAAGCTCTAGAAGCAAAACATTGTGGAGGTGTGTCGGAGAGGAAGACATCCCACAAAGTTGCTGAAGACGTGAACCCATGTTAAGTTATGAGAAAACTGAGTTAGCAGTTTGTTTAAAGGTATTTTGGGAGAGAAATTAACTGAAACAAAAAATATAAATAAATGCACACAAGTTTCTCTAAAAGGAGCAAATTACCAACCATGCCCCTGACCAAAATATTTTAGCTTGGTGGTAGGATTGAATCTTCACTGAGGGTTGAGAGTCTGCAAGGGTTTTGCTGGTGTAAAAGGGATGAATCTTACTTTCTAATGCCTGTATTAAATCATCTTGATAGTTTTGGATAATATAATTTGCCTTTTGTCTTCTGTGTATTAAATGTTGGTTATTTTGTTAAAAGTACTTTGGCAGCCTCTCGTGAATGTGTTCAGTGACCACAGTAAACAAAATGGAAAATGAAGCAGGCTTCATTGTGGGATCTGATTTATCCAGTATCATTGCCATTGGGATTTTCAGTGGTAAAGAGAATGATTTTCACTTTGCTGTGTAGTCTGCTTCAGTATGAGAGTTAAAATAGAATAATCTTAATCGCTGTAGAGTTGATTCAGTCAAATGAATATTGTGCATCTCTAGTCCTGATATTTGTCTGTAAATGCTTACATTTTAAACTTTGGTAAACTTGTTCAGTGCTTTGGCATCTCTAAAAGGTTAAGGTCTCATGTCTTATTGATATTCTTCTCTAACTTGAATTCTGGAAGATCTCACACAACAAAGGCAATCTGCTTTCCATTTGAATAGCTTAAATTCATAGTTGAATGATATACAAGTTACAACAAACAAAGATACTTCTTGCAAAAATCTGCAGACCTCATCTGTCATGCAGAATAATAATTCTGAAAGAGTTAATAAAGAAGTTGCATTACCTGCACCCTTTGGGTGGAGCCAGTAAAGTTGCGCATTAGCCTTCATAGAAATCGAATGTTTCTGAGAAGCCTTAGTAACTCTGCATGACCAGTAATGTAAGTTATATTTGTTGCTGTTATTCAATAAATCAATTTGGTAAATAAGGTAATACCTCTTTTATTTGGACTCACCTGATCTGTCCTCAATCATTGATAATAAAGCAGGTACTAGACCTAATATAGAAAAACGAGGATTGGTGGTAGCCCTTAAGACAACTCTCACCACGTGCCACATAGTGGCAGAGGTAGCTAATACAATGAGGTATTGCTGGTGGTAATCTGAACAAATATCATATGGTCTTTTGTTGAAATGAATGTGGAAAGTTTGCACCTCTGCTTGAAACTGCAATTTTGCTGTAAATGTTCGCACAGATGTACACACGGTTCTAGACATTATAATTTTCTTGTCTTTGTTGTATTACTGCTATCATAACAATTTGGGAATGGTAGGAAAGAGATGATAAACTTTTTTGCTTTCAAGCTTTACTCTGTGTGATGGTAGAAATTCAATTGACATTTATAGAAGGCCAAGCAGCAGCCGGTAAATTGAACCTTACAACTGTGAAGTACATTACTGTTGAGGAGTAGGGAGCATCTCTCTAGGCATGGGTTTACAATCTACGATACTGCTGTTTGTTGAAAAATGTAACCAGACAGCTGGCAAGGATAAGGTCATGTTTGACTCAGCTACATTGTTGACTGATTATGTGACCAAGTAATACTTGCTACCCAGACCCTTCCAGAGGAATAGTTGAGTTTTTTTAATTTGTTGATGGAATATGTGTGTCCCTGACTGGGCCAGCATTTGTTGCACATCTTAATTAGCCTTGAAAAGCTGAAGGTGAACTGCCTTCTTGACTGTTGTAGGCCTCGAGGTATAGAGGCACCCACGGTTCTGTTAGGAAAGGCTGTAGCTTGGAGGTGAACTTGCAAGTAATGGTGTTTCAATCCATCTGCTGCCCTTGTCCTTCTAGATAGTAAAAGCTGCGGGTTTGTAATTTGTTGTCAAAGGAGCCAGGGTGAGTTGCTGTAGTGCATCTTAAAGATGAAACACACAGCTGTTGTTGTGTGTCCTTGTTCAAGGAAGTCAATGTTGAGGGTGATGAATGGGGTTGCTTTGCATTGGATAGTGTAGCTTTATGAATGTTGTTGGAGCTGCGCTCAACTAATCCATCGCACTCTTGATTTGCGCCTCATAAATGGTGGACAGGCACTGGGGAGCCAGTAGGTCAGTTTCTTGCTGTAAAATTCCTAGCCTCTGACCAGCTGTTGATGGCCATAGTATTTATATGGCTGGAGGATTTTGTAATGGTGACGCCATTGGCTGTCAAGAGGACATGGTTCGATTCTCTCTTTTTCACAATGGTCTGCCACCTCTGTCTTTGATGATAATGCCAGTCACTGCTAGTACTTGCTCCTACTCTGAGAGATAAAGAGAGAGCTGTCTTTGCTTACAAACTTTCTGAAGGTCTGAGTGTAATAGCTTATTCTCAGTTCCGCGACACACTACAACTTAACTAGCTGCTGTTTGGCAGCTTTGCAACCCGAAGGCACCTGGTGCCTGCTTGTGTCTCAAAGGTATCAAATACAGCTTCTCCAAAAGTCACATGGCCTTGTATTTACCAATGAGTGAACATGTGATTGTTCCTTTGTGATGTTAAAAAAAACTGGTATAGTCCCTATACTACAACCGTGTCCAAACTTCCTCAATTTATATTTCCTTATAGTAGCAGTGCAGAGAGGGTTTCTGGACTGGTACCTGGAATGAAGGGGTTATCTCAATATCCAATGAAGGTTAGAAGAATGAGAGTTGTTCTTAGTGAAACACGTAAGATTCTGAGACAAATTGACAGGATGGATGCTGAGAGGTTGTCTCCCTGTATGGGAGAAACTTGAACTGAAGGACAAAGTTCAACAATAAGGGATCTTCCATTTAAACTGAGATCATTGGTTTGCAGAATTCTCTTGCCCAGAGAGCAGAGTCTTTGAATATTTGTAAGGCTGTGTTTAGTAGATCTTCGAATTGACAAGGGAGTCCAAGGGTATAGGATGAAGACAGGAGAGAGAACGAATATCAGGAGTGAAGCCACGATCGAATCAGCACGATCTTGTCAAATGGTTGAAGCAGCCTCAAGGGAATGAATTGTCTACTCCTTCTAATTTGTATGTATAAACCGGCAAAAAAATGCAGATTAATTCTTTTTAGAGATCTTTTGATTGTCTTGGTCCTATGGTACAGTAACTGTTCATTGTCAAAAATGAAGAATTATAGATATTATGATTTAGGTGAATCTTGCTATTTAGTTTGTAACTTTTATCAGAAGAGGGAGTTGGAGAAGTCTCCAGTGAAATCATAGCAAGAAAGAAATAAAGGACTTGATCTTTTTCCTTGAATGTTCCAAGATGCATATGTCCTCCTTATTGTTGTTTCTCTGCTCCATCAATTTTACAGTGATAATTAAATCCTTCAAGAATCTATTACTTAAGTATGAAGTTAAAACTGGGAATAAGTGGCTCAGTGGTCTGTACACTAAGTCAGAAGGCTGAGAATTTCAGTCTCTTTCTAAAGAATGCAGTACTGAAGAAAGAGATGCCTTTTACTTGTTATGATGTTAAGATGAGGCCAAGCCTAGCATTTCAAAAGATGTAAAAGACACTGACATTATTGGAGGTTTCAAAAAAAAAGATAAAACAAAGAACTGCAGAGCTGAAAATCTGAAACAAAATTAAATTGCTGGAGAAACTCAGCTGGTGTGGCAGTGTCTGTAGAGAAAAAGCAGTGTCAACATTTTGAGTCCAGTGATCCTTAATCAGAACACTGAATGAAGGCTGACTCTGCTTTTCTTCCACGCACACACTGCCAGATCTGAGTTTCTCCAACAATTTAATTTTGTTTCAGATTTCCAGCATCTGCAGTTCTCCAGCAATTTGTTCTTGTTGAAAAGCAGGAGAGTTCTCCTGGATTTTCTGGCTAACATTTATCACGGTACCATCGTGCAAACCAGATAGTCACATTTATTTCATTGCATGGGCTGTGCACAATTTACAATTCCTCACAAATCAGTAATTACTGCACTTTGTAAGTCTTGCACCAATTATGTTGTGCATTGGCATGGTCAAATTTGGAGTGGTGTGCAGTTTTAGTCTCCTTACCAAAGGAAGGACAGCGATGTGTTCTCTTGACAAGTCTGGTTCACGAGACTCGTTCTTAGGGTGAGGAAATCTCCTATGAAGACAGATTGAGTAGACTTGGCCTAAACTGCCTGGATTTTTAGAAGACTAAATGGTGATCTAAATCATAGTGCCTGTGATACTTAATTGGCTTAACAGGGTAGATGTTGAGTAAATGTTTCCCTAATAGGGGAGTCTAGGGTAGAGTGTTACCGTTTCAGAATAAAGTTGTGAAATGTGGGAATTCTCTATTCCCCAATTCAGTGGATGCTCAATTAAATATATTCGTGATCAAAGTTGTCCGATTTTTGGGTATCGAGTGAACTGAGATCTATGGGGATAATGGGAAGATGGAGTTTGAGGTATAAGATCATTCATGGTCTTGTTGAATGATGAGCAGGCTTGAAGGACAAATGACCTACAGTAGCTCCTGTTTCTTATTTTTTAATTCATGTGATTTTCTGTGTGACTTCCAGTAAACTTGTTGGAAAACCTATTTGAACATATAATACGGTTATGATTTGCATTTCACTTGTCCCTAATTGTTGTGCTGCTCAGCATCTGTTCAGTATAGATATTTATACACTCACCAGTAAAAATCACTCATCAACCAGTGGTTAAAAAGAATCTTTTTCCTTCAAATATTATTATTAAATTATTACTGAGGAAGGATGTTGATGTGAGAAGCTGGTGTTTGTGAATTAAAGTACATACTGTTTAGACAGTACCAATTTAATATTTTCAATTAAAATGCTAAATAGAACATGCCTGAAAGAGAGAGTTTGTGTTTTAAAAACATGTCTTCCATGTTTAGAGGATGTGAACAGCATATCAGTAGAACTACCACTTTAAACCAGAAATGCACTGGTTCTGAGGAAGGGCCACCAGACCCGAAACGTTAACTCTGTTTTTTCCTTCACAGATGCTGCCAGATCTGCTGAGCTTTTCCAGCAACTTTGTTTTTGTTCCTGATTCACAGCATCTGCAGTTCTTTCGGTTTTTACTTTATAATTGAGTTGGTAAATTTAATTAAGCTTGTTTTTCCAAATTGATGGACTTCTAATTAATTTTTAATCAACCAATTTATATAGCCTCTGAAGCATGTGGGATTTGAACCTGGACCTTCTAACCCAGCAGTCAGATCACTTCCCCTGCACCACAAGAGCCCCAATAATAAAGGCCTTTTACCATTAGGATGACAAACGGATATTTTCACCGCAAACCTGAATATCTTGTATCAATAGAGAGGAAGTAATCTTTTGTCTTATTATTGCAGGGAAAATGCTTTTCATTGCAAGTTCAGGTTAAATTCTTTTAATTTGTCTTAATATGTTTTGTGTATGTTCTTTTCAAGAAACCCCTAATAAGAGTTGCTATTGAAGAAGTTGGAGATACAGTGATTAATACTAAGAAGGAAGCAGCTGCAGTCAGTTTCCCTTTTGATGTTGCAGCGAAACCACCAACTATGGTATCAGCAGTCGAAGAAACTAATAAAATTCAGGAGAAAAACACACCTGAGGACTGTTCTGTGCCAACTGTTGAAGCACCCAATGCCAAAATACTTAAAGTTGAAGAGAGGTATGTTGGCATTTACAAAAAAAAACTGATGCCGTTTATAACTTTCAAAGTCTTCAGCTCTTCCTGAGGTTGAGTTCAGTAAGTAATCATCTCCCTCTGTCTCTAGTTTATCATTGAAGTGACTATTCTTGATGTTTGTCAAGAGCCATAAATAAGCGGTGTTCAAGAAAAGATGGCTTCCCTTGAGAGGGAAAATAAACAAATCGAACAAGTTCCTTGTGTGGAATACAGTTTTCCCATAGAGGGATATTGATAGAACTTCTAGTGCAAATTCCTTAGGTTTTCTGTTTTAAAGTAACACATTTAATTTAAAAGTATGTATTAAATTCACAAATTTGCATTGATATGTTTTAGTACAATGCTGTAAGATGCAGATTTAAGCAAATGCTGATAAGGATTCTGGGACAATGAATGTAAATATTGTGTATTTTTGCACGTTAATTGTCTTAAAACTTGTGGGTACATACAATTTTCAGTAGAGGTTGCTTTTAATTCACTGTTGTTTATTTATTTTTTTTAATACAGCATTGTGTAATCAGAATGGTTTGGTTATTAGTATCTCTTAAAATCTCTAAAGCATAAACCAAATAGAAACATTATGTTTGCCTGCCTTTTGTTTGCATTTTGTAAAGGATAGTAATATAGAGGCCCGAGTTCTTGCAAACACCTAGCTGACCAGGATCTCTCTAGTTTTTACCACTTGCCACAATGTTGGAAGGATTTGCAGGTTGATTGTCAACTTATTTTGCCATATTATGAACGCACTTGTTTTTGTCAGAGTCCTGGAGTAGGACTTGAATGCAAAGCTTCTACCTTAGAGGTAGGGATACTACCCCTGGTATTACAAAACCTCTTTTGAAAATGGTGGAACAGGTCTATTACTGAATTAAAAGCAGAATATGGTTGATTCTGGCAATCTGAAATAAAACTGAAAATTCTGGTGATATTTAGAAGCAGTGTCTGTGGCAAGAGAAAAATAGTTAGCATTTTAGATCAATGACCTTTCATTATAATTTATCAATGTTTCTTTCCTGTGTTGATGGATTTACTGGAGGACCTCACTGTCTTAAAATTGAATTATTTTTGGATTTTCATTGAAAGGGTCAATAGTGTCTCAATCTTGCGTAGAAAAACCACATGTTGGTGTTATTTACACAGATTATCCCAGCTGTCTAATTAAATTCATTTCAACAGGTATATTACTGAAATAGTTTCCTTTTTGAAATTTTTGTTATAAGTATTTGCTTCAGAATCTAAAATGCTATTTTAAACAGATGTTAAGCATTTCGTTGCATTGTTTGATCAGAAGCTACCTTTTGATCATTGTATTTAGAGGCCTCATTGGTAACATTTAAAATTTAAGGAATCTTCCAACTACTTGAGGATTGTCTCCTATGGGAAATGATTATCATGAAAGTTTTCTAAAAAAAATGCCATATTTTATTAGGATACGTAGTCAACTATACTTGAGAATTGTAGCAAAGGGGATACCCATTCAGTCTGATTTGTCACACACTTCTAGCAATCGTTAATTAGTCCTTTATTCTTTCAAAATGGATGCTCAGCAATGGTCTTTTAGTGAAGCGTATATAATGAATAAAAAGAATTGCCTGCATTTCTGAATAAATCTTGCATGCTTTACCACAGCATTGAAAGGGCCTGAACTCACCTGGGCAGTTCCTTCCATTGCAATATGCACAAACCTAGTTCCAGACAAGAAAGCTCAACTTTCTGACTACAAAGGTAGTCAGACTTCTCATGCCCATTTATCTTTGCACACATTAGCACGACAATGTCTCCTTGCTACCTGTCTCTTCATAGATTTCTTTTGGGGAAAGATATAAGAACCATATGACATAAAAATATCCAATGCATGCTTTAGGCAAAAAGTGTCTTGTTCTACTAGATGCTTTCAAAGTTTATGGCATTTTGCTTTACTGAAGATGTCTGATCAAATTTTCATAGTTACAACCACGATTGGTGATCTTGAAGTCCTTCATGACAATGTAGATTTACTACAATTTTATATTAATTGTATTTATTAGATGTTAGTACTTGGCATGGTTAGCATTTATTGCCAGTAATTGTCCTGTATGGTAACGGTGAGCTTCCTCACTGAAACAGTGCAGTAACAGTACCGTCAAAATGCTGTTCAGTTGGAGTTCTTGCATTTTGAACCAAAAACTCTGAAAGACGAGCAATCTATTCCCAAGTCGGGATACTTCGTGACTTGGAGTTTTGTGCTGTTGTCCTTGTTTTTCTGTGTTTTTGAGTTGGCTGGTGTCCACTACTGCCATGTTGGGATGGTGATAAAGTAACTGAATGTTTGAGGTGATTAATTGATTTCCAATCAAGTGAGCTGTTTTCCCATAATGGTATTCAACTGCTTAAGAGTAACACAATTGCATGTTTTCATTTCAAACCTCCAGCATCTGCAGTACATTAATGGATTGTATTGACTTTCAAACAGCTTTGCTCAATAAAACTGTATCTTTTCCAGTGGACATCATGTCGTATCAGACAAGCAACCCATTACAGCCAATGCTGCTACTGTAGAGAAATCAGCAGAAATGAAGAAAGTTGAAGTGCCTCTTTTTTCTCATTCTGTGATTGTCCCTCAAGCTCCTGCCAACGCCTTTCAACTTGAAGCAGACCTCCGCAAACTGAAAAACTACCCAGAGATGTTATATAAATATATAAAGGTAAATATGGAAGAGTTTATTTGACTGTGTTTTGTATATCCATTTTAACTTGAAAATCATTCAGCAGTAATCATTTCAAGAAATGTCTATATTTGTTTTTTTTTTTAAAGTATTTGTTTTGGAAGAGATTAAGGACATTTAATAGAATTTGCAAAGAGATTTGTGAAAGTGAACAGTAAACAACTGCATTTACAATTGCACATAAATTTAGGATTAGTACTCAAAGGGGATCTTTTTTAGCTCAGTGAACTTTAGTATGTGTTATCAGATGTGGCTATTGGCCTAATTTGTCATGAAATTTAAAAGGGAATTAGATATATACTTAAGAACATAATGTGATGTAGGAAAATGGAACTAAGTAGCTGTAGTGTAGAGTTAAGATTGACTTCCTTTGTCGTCCATGGTCGCCTTGTCCTCCCCTTAGTATATTTCCTCTTCCTGAGGATGAATTTTTGCTGTGCCTTCCAAATTACCCCCAGAAACTCCTGCCGTTGCTGTTCCATCATCTTCCCTAATAGGCTCTCCTTCCAATAAATTCAGGGCAGCACCTCCCTCGTGTCTTTGCGGTTACCATCGAGAGTAGAACTGCAATGTCTGCTATTTTACTGAAATTTCTGATTCTCCCACTTGTCAAACTTGTTACATTTTATGTATAAAACTTCAGTTCATGACCTGAGTAATATATTGGTCGACTGTTTCATCATTGAGTGATTTTTAAAAATCACTATGTGTTCACATATATATGAGCATATGTCTTACTGTAGGACTGGATGTTAATATTTAAATTCCACTAAATCTAAAGGACATAGCTGCTAGACTGGGTCTGTGACAGGTGGTCAGAGGACCAACAAGAGGGTAAAGCATATTTGACCTCAGTCTTAACCATCTGCCAGCTGCAGATGTTTCTGTCCCTGACAGTATCAGTAAGAGTGACCACCGCAAAGTCCTTGTAGAGATGAAATCCCACCTTCAGTATAAGAATACCCTCCATTGTATTGTGTTGTATGGCACTATCACTGTGTAAATGGGGCAGACTTCAAACAGATCTAGCAACTCAAGACTGGACTTCCATGAGCCGCTTTAGGCTATCAACAACGGCAGAATTGTACTCGAACATAATCTGCAACCTCATTCTGGAAATCCAAATAGTTCAGGTCTACTGGCTCTCCTTTGCCTAACTTTCTTGTTACCTCCTCAGAGAATTCTAACAGATTTCAAGTTTGTTAACAGGTTTGTTAGGGCTGGCATATCCCCCATGCAACCGTTGCTACCAAGTCAGGGGATCAACTCTGGTTCAATGGACAGTGCAGGAGGGCATGCCAGGAGCTGCATCAGGCGCACCTGAAAATGTGGTGTCAGCCTGGTGAAATTACCAAACAGCTTGCATGCTGTTTTTGGAATACTGTGAGCATTTTGATCATGGTTGAGGACTCTGGGTCTGTACTCAATGAAGTTTAGAAGGATGGGGGCTTGGTGAGTCTTGTTGAAACATTCAGAATAGTGAGAGGCCTGGATAGAGTGGACAAGTTTGTCAACAAAGTGCATGCCAAACAGCATAAGCAGCAAGTGACAGACAGAGTTACATGACCACACAACCAACGGATCAGATCTAAGCTCTGTAGTTCTGTCACATCCAGTCACGAATGCTGGTGCACAACTAAACAACACACTGGAGGAGGAGGCTCCACAAATATCCCCATACTCAATAAAAGGGGAGCCAGAACAGTGCAAAAGATAAGGCTGAAACATTTGTCATCTTCAGCCAGAAGTACCAAGTGGATGATCCATCTCTGCCTCCTCCAGTGATCCCCAGCATCACAGACCGGTCTTCAGCCAATTTGCTTCATTCCACATGATATCAAGAAATGGTTGGAAGCACTGGGTAATACAAAGGCTGTGGTCCCTGACAACATTCCAGCAATGTTGGAAGTATGGAAGACCTGTGCTGCAGAATTTGCTGCTCCCTCCACCAAGCTCTGCAGTACAGTTACAATACTGGCATCTGCCCGACAATGTGGAAAATTGCCCAGATATGTCCTGTACGCACAAAGTAGGATAAATCCAACTTGGCCAGTCACCATCCTATCAGTCTACTCTCAGTCATCAGTTAAGTGATAGAAGGTGTTATCAACAGTGCTATCAAGTAGCACATGCTCAGCGATAATCTGCTCAGTGATGCTTAGTTTAGGTTCTACCTTGGCCACTCAGCTCCTGACCTCATTACAGCCTTGGTTCAAATATGGGCAAAAGAGCTGAATTCCAGAGTGAGGTGAGAGTGACAGCCCTTGAGATCAAGGCTTTTTTTGAGCAAGTGGGCCATCAAGGAGCTGTAGCAAAATTTGAATCAATGGGCATCAGGGGGCTAACTCTCCATTGTTTGGAGTCATACCTACCATATAAGATGGTTGTGGTTGTTTGGAGATCAGTTATCTTGACTCTAGATACCTCTGCAGTGTTCCTCAGTCAGAGGCCAGGAATACTCTCTAGTTGGGAGTAACTCACCTCCTGACTCACCAAAACCTGTCTATCATCTACAAGGCACAAGTCCGGAGGGGGATGGAATACTCCCTACTTGCCTGGATGGTACGGCTCCTCCAAACTCAAGAACCTTGACTCCATCCTGGACAAAGTAGCCCACTTGATTGGCACTACATTCAGAAGCATTCAATCCCTCCACCACCAACACCCAGCAGCAGCAGTGTTTGCTTATCTACAGGATGCAGTGCAGAAATTCACTAAAGCTCATTAGACAGCATCTTCCAAACCCACAACTACTTCTGTCTAGAAGCACAAGAACAGTAGATACATAGGAACACCACCACCTGCAAGTTCCCCTCCAAGCCACTCATCGTTCTGACTTGGAAATATATCACCCTTCCTTCACTGATGCTAGGTCAAAATCCTAGAATTCCCTCCCTCAGAGCTTTGTGGGTCAATCTACAGCACATGAGCTGCAACAGTTTAAGAAGGCAGCTAACCACCACCTTCTGAAGGGGCATCTAGGGTTGGGTAGTAAATGCTAGCCAACTAGCAATGCCCATATTCCATGAGTGAATATAAAAAAGAGCAAAAATATATAGATTTAAAAAGGTTGCTTCGTGATGTGCCTGTCAGGCAGTATGTGACTTGTGCTAAAATATCAGGCTGCCAGGTGAAACTGCCACTTGTAGCAAAATGAACACTGACCTGAATAATATGCATGTGCTCATAAATCCTTGATATCAATTCATTTCAATATTGGAGAATTGTTGTTTTTGGATCAATATGACAATTATTGGGGTAATATGATGAGCCAGCACCAATACAAGTTGATGAGAACAGCAAATCTGTAGTCCTGTTCAGAGCTTGAAAGCTCAAAGAAGGACTTCTGGGAAGCAAGTTACTTTGAGAAACCAAAATACGTTGAGTATGTGTGTGTTCATAGCCACACAAAGATTGTTTTCAAAAAGAGTTTCAGTAGCTCCCCATGGCCCAGACTTATGAAATGTTTGTTCTCACCGTCAGATGCCTCCGTTGACCTGCCCTAGCAGATCCCATCAAATTCTTACTGCTTTATGGCCCCGTACATATTCTGTGCTCCTCTGACAAGGAGGCTTGCAGGTCTCGTGCTTTGCAATCAGAGGCTGCCACTGTATTTGCAATAACTCAGTTGTCTGTATCTCTTTCCTTCAACATGGCCATGTTGTCATTCACCACTTCCCTCCCTGAAGTCACTTGAAAAGTCACTTGACAACTTTCATTTTTTTTAAACTGTTCCTTAACCTTCCTTCTGCCCCACCATCCAATTCCATCTTTTGTATTTCTTCTTCTGCCAAATATTTTGTTTAGATGTTAAGGATGACTTAAATTATTTGATAATTGTGTACTTAATTATTATAGTTGATTTTTTAAAAATCAGTTAATATAGTCATAGAACCATAGTCGTACAGCACGGAAACATATCCTCTGGTCCAGCCAGTCCATGCCAAACATAATCCCAAGGTAAACTAGGCCCACATGCCTGCTCCTGGCCCATATTCCTCCAAACCTTTCTTATTCATGTATTTATCCAAATGTCTTTTAAACATTGTAATTATATCCACATCCACCACTTCCTCAGAAAGTTCATTCCACACATGAACCACCCTCTGTGTAAAACATTTGTTTCTCATGTCTTGTTTAAATTTTTCTCCTCTCACCTTAAAAATGTACCCCCTAATCTTGAAATCCCCCATCCTAAGGAAAAGACAACTGCCATTGACTCTGTCTATGTTCTTCATTATTTTATAAACTTCTATGAGGGCTCAACCGCCTATGCTCCTGTCAAAAAGAAGTCCCAGCCTTAGAATCTCTGCTTAGAATCCCTAGTGTGGAAACAGGTCATTCAGCCCAATGTGTCACACCGCAACCCTGTGAAGAGCATCCCACCCAAACCCGTGTCCCTGTGGCCCTGTATTTCCCATGGCTAACCCAACTAACCTACACATCCCTGAATACTATGAGTAACTTAGCATGGCAAATCCACCTAACCTGCACATCTTTGGACTGTGGGAGGAACCCAGAGGAAATCCATGCAGATGCAGGAAGAATGTGCAAAATCCACCTTGACAGTTGCCCAAGGATGGAATCGAACCTGAGGCAGCAGTGCTAACTACTGAGCCACTCTGCCACCCTATCCAGCGTTTTTTTTATAACTCAAACTTTCCATACCTGGCAACATCCTTGTGTATCTCTTCTGGACCCTCTCCAGCTTTTAATAATCTTCCTACAACTGGGCGACCAGAATGGACACAGTATTCTGGAAGAGGCCTCACCAATGTCCTGTACAGCCTCAACATGATGTCCCAACTCCTATACTCAAACGAATGAGCAATGAAGGCAAGCATGCCAAACGCCTTTTTAAAACCACCTTCTCTGTATGTGATGCAAACTTCAAAGAATTATGTACCTACATCCCTAGGTCCCTCTGTTCTACAACACTACCCAAGGGCCTACCGTTAATAATATAAGCCCTACCCTTGTTTGTTGTACCAAAATGCAATACCTTACACTTATCCAGATTGAACTCCATTTGCCATTTTTCAGCCCATTGAACCATTTGATCAATGGTAATCTTCACTGTCTACTATGCCACCAATTTTGATGTCTGCAAACTTATTAACTATGCCTTCTATATGCTCATCCAAATCCTGAATGTAAATGACAATTTGCAAATCAACACTATAACTTCTGTTATGAACAAGAACTTTTGCATCGGTTGGACAGATTGAAGGAATTCAACATTGTGTTCCAATATGAAGAATCTGTTTCCTAAATGATCATTAGGATATTTTTTTGCTCCTTCAATGTGTTCCTCTTTCTGACCTATTTACTCAGTGCAGCATTTTTTTCCATGGACAATAATTGCTTATTAGCACTATATCCAACTGGATATACCCTTGTGTAAAGGGTTTTTCTACATGGCATTTCAGACCTCTCTGTACCTACAACAGAATTTGTATGTAAGCCTGAGTCGTGAATGTTGTCCAGTTACAGGGGTATTATGGAACGTAAGCAGCTGAAAGTCTGCCCTTTGATTCAGAGCAGAGAGATAAATAACTTTCACCTTCAACCAAAGGACTACAGCTTAGATCTTGAACCACTCTGGGACTGATCTGCTCATGTGAAAACTTGATGAATGTTCAAGTTGTCAGCTGTTTACTTTATAGTGCCAATTGTTAAACGTTTCTTTCTGTGAGCATGATCTGAACTTTTGTTTCAAATGGTTTAACAGAAGACATGGTTTTAGAGCTAAGGTAAAAATTTAGTTCCAGTCCAGGGCAATATTCTAATTACTTTTTTGTCTTGCTTTTATTGCTCCTGCAAATAGCAAATTGAGCCCTCTTTGTATACACAACTGTTTCAGAAGTCTTTGGAACCTGACATTCTAAATCACATTTTAAGAATCTTTCATGATTCGTACATCAGGTAAGCAATTTTAAGTTTGCAGTTTACCAGTCAGCCTAGTTTGCTGTCATCATTATATTGTGAATGGTGGTAACAAGGAAACCATGTAGCTTGATAAACGCACTTGGATTGTTAGGAAATGTGCAGATATTGTATAATGCATCAGAATACTGCTTTTCCACTTAATGTAATGTTGTTGCCTCCTTTCTTAAAGAAACTCCTGGTCTTTGACCAAACTATTAACCACCCTGGTATCTCCTTTATGGGTTTGAGATTTAGGTTTTGGTCTGTTATACTTAGTTTAAACATCTCTTGGGGCAACCTTCTATGTTACAATCACTGTATGAATGCAACCTGTTGCAGTTCTTTTTTATGGTTTCCTGAGTGTGCGCAGCCAAATTTTTCCTGTTGCAAAGCATTATAAATCATTGCATTTAGCCTACACTAATGGGAATTAGTTCTTTGAGACCTATGTTTATCATAATTTAGATTTCATTGCCAAAACATGAAATTTTGTCATATTTCTCTGTTTATGTAGCAGTATATTATTATAACACAGTATTGTAATTTGGGTCTGACTTCTTGCACCCTGCTACCAAAAGATGTTGTGTCACTCTAGAAGATGATGTCTAGAGCACTTCTATAGTTGAAGAGATGTATGATTTAATATGAGGCTTTGTTTACAGTTAATAACTACTTGCTAAATGCAGCAGCTGAATCAAAGGGAAGACTTCCAGGAATTCTTTTAACAAGTTGCTCTGAGTTAGTAGCTGCTTTCTTGAATATCATGATAAATCCTTGGGTGGTTCCTGTGTACACATTGCAGCTACTGGAATTCTTTTAACTTAATCAGATGCAATGTCAGTTGGCTGTTAATTTGATGCTTTTGATCAAATCACTCTTGCTTTATTCTGGCTAATTGCAAGTCAGCAGTTTGACAGTGAAAATGTTATCAGCAAAGTAAATGGGGAAAATGTCCAATTTGCACTTATTATAGCCAAAACCATGTAGGTAGGGGATAGAGGGCCAGCAACAAGGATACAACGTTTAGGGTCGGTGGGGGATAACTGGTTGGGTGATGAGAGGGAGTTGGGTTGGGAAGGTGGGGGTGTCTGGTTGGGGATGGTGGTTGGCGTATCCAGTCTGGGAGTGTAGGCTCCTGGTAGGGACTGCGGAAGGTCGGTGAGAAATCAGTTGAATAGTTAGACCATGTATTTAATAGTTGTTAGTTTTCTGAGTAACTATTTTACTCTATTAATCAAAACCATTCAGTTGCTGATTTGAATGGAAATTTTCAAAGGGGCCAGGCAGTGTGGAATTGTTCAGTGGAAAATTCAGTTTTCCAGGCAATTCTTCTGGAGGGTGCTATGATTTGGGTGGGGGGAGTTCGGAGGGGGAGATGCACAGCTGCTATCTACACTGGAATAATAACTAACTGGCCATCAGAAGATCTATATCTTTTGGGTAAGGGCACCAAAAATGTGCGCACAGAACCGTTTGTGGTCTCATCAAAGGCTTATGCAGCTGTGATGTGACTTCCTTGCTCATGTTTGTTTTCTCTTTATTGATGTTGGGCAAACTGGTGTGTAATTCTCAGTTTTATCCCTCCTGCCTTTATTTAAATTATGGATTTAAGAATTATCTTTTCCTGGTAATTATTGTTGCTTTATTCTAGTATTGTTATGTTTTTACTTTTTAAATTACATTGGAATTGTATAAAGTTACATTTTATTTGTCCATCCTGAAAAGAGCACAAGTTCACATGCTGTGATGCAGCATTAGATTGACAATTTCATTCCAGAGAAATCACAAAAACAATTGTTGTGAAGTATGAAAATGTAGTGGAAAGCATTTGCCAAAATTGATATCGCAGTTGTTCCTGAAATATTTTGTTCCACAGAAATTGTGTTCAAGCTCAACTTTATTTTGCACAAATTCTGTTAATTAACTGAAAGCATATAACACAAATTCTGGTACAATACAAGAGTCCACTTGCCAACCAATCAACACATTCTTCTCATTCAGTATAAAAAGTTTATCCCTTAACAGAGGTATCTCTTGTGAATTATCCTGATGAGTGCAAGACACAATGCAAACTGAACTCACCCCCATCAAAACAATCAGATCCAAGTGCCTTCACTCTATAGTATTTCCTACCATCCCCTCCTCCAGCCCTACTCGCTCACTAACTCTTTGATTTTATCAACAGAGAGTTCTTATGAAATGTGAAGTGTGGAATTCTTTGCAACATGTATTCTAAATTATGTATAAATACCACACACTTTGCATGCTGATATACAGTTCTTTCACTGCTAGACACAGGTTTTGTGCATGTTTTAATAGAATCTTTATATCGTTAACTCCCACATGATCCAGATAACTATCCTTAGGCGTTTCATAAAATTTGGAAGAACAACTTACAGTTTTAAATTCAAGAAATATATTGCAGCTGTAAAACCAGTATATTAGCCTGTGCCCTGCAAAATACTGTAGTTGGCCTTGAGGACTGTCTTTCTTCAGCAAGGGAAAATAAGGTTTATATTCAATGCTGCATATTAATGAAGTGAGATGCGCCAATATCCAGAAAGTGTGATGTACTGAATAAATTTTTAACTGTCAAATTTAATACTCCACTTGGATTTGTAATACCATTCTAATGTAATCATGAAATATCTTTTACATTCACTGAATATTACTTCAATAATGAAGTGTTACTTTATGCTCCTGAAGTTTAAACTAATCACAACGATGAATCAAATCAAGAAAACCTTGTTCCTCTTCCATTGAATTCCACAGGTTTGAGGAACCATCCCTAATTCTAGATGTTCTAAGGAACTTAGCAAACGTGAAAAGGTTTGATATGGCGGTAATGTTTATGTCGGAATCAGAAAGACAAGGTAAGCTACATTTAGCAGCTACAGTCCTTACTATAATCCACTTATATTCTTTTATGATGACTGGATTAATCCTGGTGTCTCCTTTTGATAATTTGCTCACATGATTCTTAGGCTTTTCCCACAGCCACCTGGCCTTTATCACTCTCAAGTGCATTATTACAGAAGAGGCTTTGGATGTGAGAGAGCAGAAATCAACTCCACATGCTTAGAAAACATGAGAAGACTGTTTAGAGCAAGCCAATTACTTTGGTTTTGTCCACTAAGTAGCAGATTTTTTTTATTTAGACCACTTGAACTGAAAATGGCACCCTCTGGATTATAACTGTAGTATGCAATGCAATCGAGCAATGTAATCCATAGCTGCAACACAGTGCCACATTGACCTTAAAGAAGAAATGGGACTATTGGGCTCCTTGAACACTTGCGAATGTTGCAAAGAAGCAGGTGCCCTCACCTGCGCAGTCCCTAAATAAAAAGTAGATGCTGGTGGAGGATTAGTACCCACATGCAAAACTCTTTAATTGTGACAGAGGAAACGTAGCAGCAAGCTACAGCCTGCAGTATAGTTTGTGCTCTACATAACTGATCTGAGATTGATACACTTAACTTTTACCCCTAACTTCACTCATTTGTTTTCTGTACAATAGAAATAATTTTAATCGCAGAACTGGGAATTCACGGGAATAAGGCTTAAGATTTTAGTCAACGTGGTCTTGTATTATGCCATGATTATTTGCTGAGTTTTGCCTTTATGTAGTACATCATTTGAGGACATTTTTTTTTCCCATTCAGCATTAACCCATTGGTTGATAGACAAAAGCATTGTAGAAATTCTGTAGCAGCATTTGTGCAATAGGGCCAAACTTCGACTATCTCTTATTTTTGTCTCAGTATCTGGTACGTTTTTGGCCCTTTGTAAATAGTACAAAAGTGCAGGGGCTTTATTGCTGAACTTGTTGAAAGAACATAATCAAAGCACATTGCTGCAGCCTTAAAATTTGCATTCCATTTCAAAATGTCTGCAATGAAAGACTGACATCATCGGTAATGAGTGTGAAACTGAGAGACTGTGGCAAAATACACCTGATTGAGTAAAACTGAATTGGTCGTGAATATCTTCCAGTAATGGTCATCCTGCAAGGCAAACAGGAATGGGTAGTAAATATTGGTCTTGTCAGTGGTGCCAATAACCCGAGAGCTATTTTTAAGTGGTCTAGGGCACTTATCTGCATTTGGAAGGTTTGTATAAGCGCATTGTTTTACATAATTTAAGAATTTAATTGTATTCACATAATTTTATCAATTGCACTAGATCATAAGCAATAATATATTTGATACCTTCTGGAACTGCTGAAATGCTTAAGCTTTGTCACTGCTTAATGATTATTAATATAAAAGATTAATGTTTTCCTTCTATGTCTGATTCCCTTTTCCAGTTGTAAAGGACTTATTTGATCATCTACAGAAATCTGGTGTTGAAGAAGAATCACTTAAAACATTGAAGAGCAGATACAGTGTTTGAAAAATCCTTCTGGCCTGCACATAAATATAGTAAAGGGGAAAAATTGTATTTGACCTAAACCCCTCTTGTATAGTATTTCCCTCAAAGATAATTATTTTCATGTAAGGTTGTACCATGTATGTACAATATTTCTCTTGAGCAGTTT